ATCGTTTTGTGACGATGTAGGCCTTTTGTTTACCATCATAGACACATATTGTTGTTTATCAGGTTGTGTTGTACTGGGTGCACGTCCGAATGGTGCCAACTGTTGTGATATGTCTTCGACTTAGATCTGTCTCTTTGAGGGAAGGAAATGAAGTGCCTGAGATTCATAACAAAGGAAACAAGATCGTCAGTCATCGTCCGGGAGGCGATCCTGGAATGAAGCTCCGACGATCAAGTCAGTTTGTTTGTTTAGATAGAATGTGAAAAGTGTTAGGTAAGTGTATAAGGGTTTTTTCTCTCGATCCCTTCTCTTAGAGGAGAAGGGACCTTTTTATCCCTATGGTTGGGGGCATAGATCCCTGACAGTATCTTTTACCTTTTCGGGTTTGGTAGGGATAGACGGCCTTTGATTGGTAAATCATGCTCCGCGAGTGGTCGTTTGCTATTGGTGCATGTTTTCTAGGAGCAACGTTCTAAGCATTACACCTGTCACTCTAAGAGGCGATTGGTACTATTTTGTCTTAACACTAGCTTTAGTGCTTGGGCGCCAAGGAATGAATATGGGATTACGAGAGCGAGGACCTGACGTTAGGCATATGCCGCTATTTGTGCAAACCGTCTATCATACTAATGGTTCTTCTATATTTGACATATTCATGGTGGGATACGTTAATAGTCTAAAACCATAAAGTCGTTGACTTGGTGACTTTGCATGCCCTAAAAGATCCCAACTTCAAGATATAGCATTTTACTGTCACAAAATGGCATAAACTCATGCATGGATGGATATAAAACTTAAAGGTGACAACTTTATGCATCTAGAACCTCATAAACACCAAGAGTGGCAACTCAAAGCTCCTGGAGTGGTATCAAACCACTAGATCTCATTCTTGGGGCCAATAGGGGCCAAAACTCACAAATGATAGATCTAAGCCACTAATGAGCAATTTCATTGCTTTTTTACGTCAAACAAGCTAGAAATGAAGCAAATAAATGAGATCCACAAGCTGTTCCGTGATCCACCACCTTGTACCAAGCTTCTACTTCTTGAATATGAACCAAAACCACCAAAAATGAACACAATGAGCTCAAAACACAAAGGAGAGGCTTAGGGTTTCGTGCTTGAGGCTATAGGGACAATGGAGGCTGAGAAATGAGGGTCTCATGGTCCATAATGATGTTTATATAGTGCCCAACCCTGAAAATTAGCGTTTCTATATGACTCACGTACGCCCCACATACATACATGCACACCCAATGTACGTGTCCAAAGTCCCGATCCCGCCATGCATGAGTATGCTAAGTGTACCATGTGGCACACCCAATATACCCGCTTTACAGCTTGTATGCTAAGCGTACCATGTGGTACACCCCGCGTACAACTCAATGACCAAAAATGCAACATTAATAACAATAAGGGCTATAAAGAAACTTACCAGGATTCAGGGGTTACACCAAGTTTGACCAATATTGACCAATTTCTGCCAAGCATCCCTAATCGTAATCAGTTGCAGACCATCAAGTGATTAATCCTCGATTAATCGGCAGCCAAAGCCAATTTCTGCAACACTGATATATACATATATATATATATATTATATATATATATATATATATATATATATATATATATATATATATATATATAAAATACCATTTTACACACCTATAAATAACTTACTACTTTCACCTTCAAAATAAAACATTCTTTTATCAATCCCTCTCTATATTTCTTAAAAAAAAATGAACCCCAACAATCCAACCCCAAAATACAATAGAAGAAAAAAAACAATGTTTCAAGTTCAAGTACCCAACTTGAAACATTTTCACCATCGATCCATCCCAAGCGGTTTATCATCCTTAATTTGATGCCCCCATTCAATCTCCTCCACATTTCCAATACTAAAATGTTAGGCAATAGTACCCCGTGTAAGTACCAAATGTTAGTCTGAATATGTTCACCAACTTTGTCGTTTTTCCCGATCAAATTTCACCAAATCAACCCGAAAACCACACCTCACTCTATCAATCTCGAACTCAAAGCCAACCGACACTCTATCAATCTCAAACCTAAAGCTAAACCCCACCATTTCACTCTCAAAGCCCACGAGGAAATTGTACGGGAAACTCGACCCCCACCCCACCCCCACCATGCTGCAAAGGAAAACAATTGGTGCAAGAGATGACAAAGCAAAAGCCTCAAGCATGGATTCCCCAAGAAGATATATTGTTGATACAAGCTTGGGTTGACATTTCGGAGGATTCAGCGCAAGGAAATGCACAACCGCATGAACATTGTTGGCTTCGCGTTCTTGAAAGATTTTGCATGGAGTTGGGTAGAGATGATGAGTACTGTACCAAACACTAACTTAATTCAAACGTTCGAGAAATAGCGAGCAGTGTTTCAAAAATGAACGGATCATACAACAATCTAAAAACCCAAGTAGAAACAACCAAGGAGATGAAGAAATTCTTCAAGAGGCTTTGCATTTTTTTCATGAGGAAACGGGAAATACATTCAAGTTTGATAAGCCTTGGAAGTTGTTAATTCTTAGTCAAATGTGGAAAAACTATGAAGTTGGTTTCATACTAGTAGGAGCACAATCAAAAAGAACAAAAATAGGTTCTAGCGGATACACAACTTCTTCTGATGCTCGTGGCGGGCTAGATTTAAATGAGGACAATGAACTCGAGTTATAAGAAATTGTTCGAACGATGGGTAGGGACAAAGCAAAAAAGGAAGGGAAATGGGTCTTCTTCCAATGCATTAGATTTCAGCATGGATGCAGACGAAATCTAAAAAATGACAGTAACGTTTGATCGTTACAATCTGAATTTCGTTGAATGTTTGACATTTGACTTAGAAAAAGAAGCCGAAAAGGGGAGTGTGTGGAAAGGCAAGAAATGAGCAATAAAAAAAAACCCGATCATCTATCGGGATCGGCCATCGAGCTAGTTTTGAAGAATAATGTGAAGATCATTAAAATATATTTCCCCTGGATCGTTTTGTTTTGTTTTGTTTTGTTTTTCAAAATATAGGTTGTTTTTTTAATGGAAATTGTTTTTTTAATGTTAGGTGTTTTCTAGTTTTTTTAATGTAGTTTTTATTTTAAATAAAAGAATTTGTGTTTATTAATCATTTTTAAGGAATTATATTTATTAAGCTAAAAATTAAACTAATTTTATTACAAAAGATGAAATGTGACTTGGGATGAGCAAAGGAACTAACTCGGCTTGAACTGGTCCGAACCGGACCCAACTCATGAACCAAAGTCGGTCGAAATTAAGAATCGAACCGGACCGCCTCTTCAATGTTGGAACCGATTCTCGAGAAATAGCAATATACGGTTCCGCTTTTTGCCGGTTCTATCGCTTCCGATTCCTGGTTACAAAAATCCACAAGAATATCGTCCCTATCCCGGTTCTATCCGATTTCGGTTTCGATACCTGTTCCGGCCGGTTTCCCGATTTAAATGTCCATCCCTAAATGTGACCATTTACCGCCTTTGGGTAAGTGAACGAAAAATGCACACTAAAAATATTATCAAATTTATAAAAATATTATCAATTTAAATCGTATTATATAACTGACCTCCAACGTTAGGTTTAGAAAGAATTGATATAGACCACTCAAATTGTACTTACCATTTTATTTTGTTTTTTATGTTTTCCGTTTTGAAAACATAAAATTAAGTAATAGTCCATTATGACCCATGAAATTAATTTTATAGAAACGTTTTTAGTACTATTTGAATATTTATTTGTTTAATGTATTCAACGAAAAATTAAGTAATAGTCCTGAAATTATATTTATTGAAACATTTTTATTACTATTTGAATATTTGTTTGTTTAATGTATTCAACGAGTATGATTATGTCTCGTGTAATTTGAAAAGAAAATCATACATAAAAGAGAAGTCACATAAATTGTGCTTCAATTCAGCAAAAGTACTACAAATGGTTTCTTGACGACCTCTTCATGCAAACTTTTTTTGACGCATAGTTTAAATTTTTTGACACATAACTCGTACAAAATTAGCCACGTCGTTGATAGCTAGAAATTGGTATCTAGCGGTTGTTGGTAGCTAGAGTTTATTTATTTATTTACTTATTTATTTATTTTAACTAAGGGTTTCCCAAAAATACTTGTATGCTTTAAAATATATAAAATTTAATAAAAATATAATTATTAAAAAAAATAGAATATATAAATATATTTTTAACGACAATTTTGAAAATTGATTAGAAAAACTCAATAGTTTTTTTAAACATTATATAAAATAGTTTTTAGATTTGAATTTTTTTGTTTAAACTAAATGTTAAACGCCCATGCTCCCAAACAAAGTTTTTTGTGTAAATCGATTTTTTTTTATTAAAAGCCAAAAATTAGAAGCTCACGAACGCTTGCTGCCAAACACACCCTTAAGTGTTGTAAAAATATTGTTTTTTTCTTATTTTCTGTTTTTATTATTTTTAAAGTTATTGTAATAACCCTTTAACTTGTTGATTCGTGTAGATTTTCCCCTTCCGACAGCTTATTGCCGGATTCAACGGTTGAATTGATCCTAGGTGTCTTTTTTATCCTACATGGCAAATGAGGTAGCATGTAGGGTTAATTAATAAGGCTTATATTAAAAGATGGATGTTGGTGGTTCCTTTATTGTGCCATAATACCTTGATGATGGCTTCCTCATAAAGCTTCTCCTCGACCCTCAATCGATCAAACAAGAAATCAATAGTAAACAACACAAAAGTTTGTGATTGTGGGTTTCCTACACGTATTGTAACATCAACAACACTAAAGAATACAGGGAGACATTCCATGGTGTGGAATGAGGTGTGCAATTTCATTTGAATCTTCCATCTTTTTCGGATTCATTATTCTTGAATGTCTTTATCTTTTCTGGATTCATGATTCCTGAATTTCTTCATCTTTTTGAATTGTTTGTTTCGAAGGGTAAACGCAAATATTAGAAGTGGTTGGATGTAGAACCTACACAGATGCCTGTAATCAATGTGGTGGAGGGAATGAAAGTTGATTTGGTAGCATTGAAGACAGAAGTAGAGAATGCGAAAAAAGACATGGAACAAATGAAGAAGGAAAAGTACTTTGATACCATTGCAATGAAGGAAAAAATATATAAGTTTACTGGTCAACATTTCAGAAAGCTGTTTTGGAAGGCTGTCAATGCTTGTTTTGAGCAGAAGTTCAGACGTGTAATGGAGAAGATCAAATCTGTAGATACTCATGCATATGATTACCTTATAGATAGAGATCCTACTACCTGGTCTAATGCATTTTTTAAGAGGGAAGAGATTGTGATGCAGTTGAAAATGGGATGTGTGAGAGTTTCAGTTATGCTATTAGGTATGCTAGAAGGAAACCAACCATCACTATGTTATAGGATATTTGGATATTTATGATGCAAAGGATATACAATCAAAGAGTTGAAGGAATTAAAGGGGATTTGACTATTTGTCCAAGTATTAGGAAGCTTATACAAGAGTTGAAGGTTAAAAAGATGTAATATGTAGTTTTTGTAACGCCCGTGTTTGTATGCTAAAACATTAATGATGATGTAATAGTCTAGGTCAACATTTGTAACTCATTTTGAAGTAATAAAGAGGAATTATGTGAATATTTTGTGAGTTATGTGCTTATTCGCTTAATTAGTATGATTAATGAATTAAGGATAAAAATAAGCGTCAGATAAAGCCGATATTTGTTAAGAAAGTTGTAGTGGCCGAAACAAGTATTCCAGAGATATAAAGGATACCGAAATCCAAATTATAACGAAGAAGTTATGACCTGTCAAACTTTCGTGACAGAACCGGCACGACGCTGTGTGACATAAAAAGTGAATTTACGATAAAGTGCTTTTTAGCCTTAACGATCTAAACGAAGTCATAGAAACCGTAATTACGAACATTTCGATATAAAGAATAAGAATAAATATTTTATTTTCGTGATATAACTCCCGTAAATAATTGTCTAAATATATATTACGACATTAGATATTGATTATTAAATTTAGATAATCGCAAAATAATATCCATCATATATTTGATAAAAATGCTGAAGCATATTGATATATGTATACAATATTTAAGCTAAATATAATTTTCATACCAAAAGATAAATGTATATATATAAATTAGAAAATCATGATAGTAAAAATAAGAAAAGTATTATATGATCTTTGTATACGATTATATAAGTTTGGAGTTTGTGATTTGTGTAAGAAATCAACATATGTATATATACGTAACTAGTTTATAACATGTGGTAACCACGGTTACAAAATTAATTAAACATTTATAATAAAATTTAATAATTATTAATCAATTATTTGAATTAAATAGTTTTAAATAAGTTATTAATTATTAATTAAGAGATATATCAAAAATTTTAAAGTTATAATAACTTAATAATTAACATATAATTAGAAAATGTAAATTTGAATTTTAAAGTGTATTACCTAATATATCTACATAACAAATGATATAATATTAATGAGGGTGTTGTATGAGAATGACACTTGGCAAATGGAGGTTAAAACTATTCATTTATTAGAATAGGGATTTCGAAACCATACAATGATATGGTGAACAAATTAAATATACATATTAAATGTAAAACTTAAGGCCAAATGAAGGATATATATATATATATATATATATATATATATATATATATATATATATATATATATATATATATATAATTTTAAATAAGTACAAGGCATGATACATGTCTAATTTATAAAGGTCTTAGTCACTTTTGGTTTTGGGTAACTGTACACATGTTTGAGATATGACCATGTTGTTAGGAAAATACTTTAGTTACCCACATATGTTGATAGTATAAATAGAAGTGTTTTGATTATCTTAAATAAAAAAATTTAGAGTTATTTAATTATTTGGAAAAACATCCTGATTTTATCAGAAACGATTGTTTTAAGAGACGAGATGTTGTCCAACTGTCGTCTAATCAAGGTGATTGCATAGTTACTTTCATCTTACACATAGATATGAAATATTCAATATAAACTACGTGCTATGTGTGCATATTGTCTGAATACTTGTTGTCTATGTTGATGAACGATTTTTATACATGTTTTAAATGATTTAAACTGTATATGTATTTTATATCTACAAAAATGCTGGGGTAAACATGGGTAGATGTAATAGACGATGTGTAATAAAATGATGAGAGGCCTCGGTGTTGTTGTTGTAGTTGATTCTATCATCTAGCGGAGTATGGATGACGACCACGGACTCTTCTAGACAGTCTAGTGGAATGCTAGCAGGCTCGCAACTTGTAGGTGTTTGTGAACGATGTGTTCACCGGTGTACTCCATCCCCCACATGGTTTCCTTAAGGACATTTATTGCTGAGGAATCCCCTTAGTAGTAGTGTCCAACTCGATGATGATCCTTAGGCTAGGTCCCTTATGATAGGTGCTTTAGGGACGTAAAGTGAGGATAACGGGAACAGGTAATCGGGTTATTATTGGTTGATGAAATTAAATAACTTATTTAATGTGGATTGAAAACCCTATGTGCTCACCAGGCTCCCAAGCCTGACCCACTCAGTTTCATGTATTACAGGTAGTGGCGCTCGAGCATAGATGTGATGTTTTGGATGGGGATTACAGACATAGGCATGTAGATATGAAATAATGTAGTAAGGCTTATATTGTACTGTTTATGCTTTTGATTTGTATCGAACATGACATCTTGAGTCTTTTAATGAAATACATTTCATTGGAAATGCTTTTGATAAATCTTTATCATAATTTGTTTTAGGACAAATTCCGCAACACTTTTATTTAAAATGTTACTCTAATTTTCTAACAAGCATAAACAAAATCGGTCTTTTCTGGCCATGAAAATGAGGATGTCACAGTTTTACCATTCCAAATATGGTTTTTATTAATTTGTGTTATTAGTTATTAATTTGTAGTCTTTATTACCTTATATAGATTGTGGGGGGTTACTCATTGTGGTTATCACAAGTATGAAGTTCGGTTCAATGATGCAGCATATGGAGTGGATCTAATTGTAAAGACTTATGCAAGTAGAATATGGAAACTTATAGGGATACCATGCTTACATGGAGTGGATGCAATCTCTTCTCTGAATTAAGATGTAGAAACATATGTATCCCAATCATATAGTAAAGAGGCTTACCTAAAATGCTACAATTATAGCAATAACCCTCTCAATGATAGTGATATGTGGAAAAAAGTTCCTTATCACAAGCCTTTGCCTCCTAAAAGAAGAAGATTACCTAGTAGGCCATCATTAAAAAGGAATAAGGATGCAGTGGAAAGATTTGAATGGCCTAGTTAGACATTCTATGAAAAGAAGGGGAACCATGGTAAGGTGAAGTATTTGCAAGGAACCATGCCATAACAAGAAAAATTGGACAACTAATAAGAAAACTAATACATCAGGTAAATTTTGTTCATCTAAACATACTACAACATTTTGATAAGTAACTGACACTTCAATTTTTTGGCAGCACCAACAACATCTAGGGGTAGTGGAGCAGGACCAAGTTCATGCAGGGGGAGTGGAGCAGCAGCAACCCAACCACCACCACCACCACCAGCCCAACCACCTCCACTACTAGCAGTAGCAGCCTAACCACCTCCATCATCACCAGGTGCAAGTCTTGTCCCAAGAAGAAGAACCCCAATTGGTAGAAGTGGATATAGGCAATATTCTGAAAGGATTTTTAAAATGGCATTGAGGAGGAAGATACATGGGGTTGGGAATAGTGCAGAGAACCCTACAGTCCTTGATTAAGTTAGTGTGTAGGTAATGGGTGGGTGGGCACATCTTTTGTTATCAAGTTGTGATGTAAAGACAAAGTACTGTGTTTTCTTTATTGTTTTCTTTTGGTTGTGTGGGTATATGGTGGCCCTTGTTATGCAGGAATCTTTTGTCCCATTTTTTGTGTTACCTAGGTACAACTTTTGTGTATGGAGACAACTACTTTCCATTTACTTAATTTTGAATATTAATGGAGCATTTCAATGAATCCAACCACCACAATCAATTACTTTCTTGTTATATGTATGCATTGTATTCATTCCATTCACATAATGGAATCATATATGTATTCATTGTATATGTATGCTACCTTTTCCAGATTCCATTCTTATTCTATGTATGCATTGTATTCATTCCATTCACATAATGGAATCATATATGCATTCATTGTGTATGTATGCTATTTTTTCCACATTTCATTGTTATTTCACTGATTCCATTCCAGTCAAAGAATGGAATTATATATGGTAAAATTATATTTATGCTACTTTTCTTGATTTCATTACATTCAAACAAGAAGTTAAGATCATTCAACACATCATTCCATTCAATACATCATTTAAATAACATCTTTCAGTACATCATTTCATCATATACATTACGATCAAAAAAAGAAATCCTATGAAAAACTTATATAATTTGTCCTTCATTGCATTGGCATCAGAGTACTTTGCCTTATTTATTTGTTCCATGCCTTCTTTCACCTTCTCTAATTCCGTCTTCAATGCTACCAAATCAACTTTCATTCCCTCCACCACATTGGTTACAGGGATCTGTGCAGGTTCTACATCCAACCACTTCCAATATTTGCATTTACCCTTGAAAACAAACAATTAAAAAAGATAAAGAAATTCAGGAATAAAGAATCTTGAAAAGATATAAATAATCAGGAATTACGAATCCATAAAAGGGGAAGATTCAATGAAATTGAACACCTCATTACACACCATGAAATGTCTCCTTGGATTCTTTGATGTTGTTGATGCTACAATACGTGTATGGGACCCACAATCACAAGCTTTTGTGTTGTTTATTGTTGATTTCTTGCTTGATCGATCGAGGGTTGAGGTGAAGCTGTAGGAGGAAGCCATCATCGGGGTATTAGGCCATAATAAAGGAACCACCAATGTCCCTCTTTTAATATCAACCTTACTAATTAGCCCTACATGCCACCTTATTTGCCATGTAGGATAAAAAAGACACCTACAATCGATTCAACAGTTGAAACCAACAATAAGCAGTCGGAAGGGGAAAATCTACATGAATCAACATGTTAAAGGTCTGTTATATCACGAAAAAAAGTTTAGTGACCAAATGTGACAAAAAGAAATAGTAAGTTAACCTCTCAAGTCATTATCCCTAAAAAAATTTGACACTTAACTCGTATAAAATTAGATATGTGGTTGATAGCTAGAAATTGGTATCTAGTAACTATTGTTGGTAGCTAGAGTTTATTTATTTATTTATTTATTATAAGTGTTTTGGCAAAATAGTTGTATGCTTTAAAATATATAAAACTTAATAAAAAGATAAGTGTTTAAAAAAATTGAATATATAAATATATTATTAACGACAGTTTTGAAAATTGATTGAAAAAACTCAATAGTATTTTTAAACATTATATGAAATAGTTTTAGATTTAAAATTTTCTGTTTAAACCAAAAGTTAAATGTTCGTACTCCTAAACGAAGCTTTTTGTTTAAATTGAGTTTTTTTTATTAAAAATCAAAAGCTAAAAGCTCACGAACGCTTGCTGCCAAACACACCCTTAAATGTTATAAAAATATTGTCTTTTTCTTATTCTGTGTTTGTATTATTTTTAGATTTATTATTGTATAATTAAGGACCTAGAAAATGCTCACCATCTCTCTCTCCCTCTCTCTTTGTCTATATATATATATATATATATATATATATATATATATATATATATATATATATATATATGTGTGTGTGTGTGTGTGTGTGTGTGTATGTGTTTGTGTGATAGTTTAAATAAAAAATGTAAATAGTGTGAAAACTTAAAAACACTACTTTTATGTTATTATTCTGCAATGATTTTTTTATGCACATCTTTATGTCATTCAGCAATGAATACTCACACGTTAGAACTAAAATTAGAATTTACTTCAAAAATGCACATACATAAACTTATAATACAATAAGATCCTTCTAATGAATACATTAATAATCAAATGTTAATATTCATATTAGAATTACTTCAACAATACACATATACAACATTCATTGTAGAATAATAACATAAACATAATGTTTTTTACGTTTTCACACTATTTACCGTTTTTATCTAAACTTACTTCGATATATATTACCCTTTCTCACTCGCCCTCTCTATTTTTATACCTGACTCTTTCCCATCATGAATCTGCCCATAGGTAATCACCAAGTGCATAATGAACCTCTATTGTTTACCATTTTGCTATTTATCAATGAAATACATCTACATTTTTATGATCCAAATTAAACTCAAAGTAAAACAAATAATTTTTAAAATTCATATGAACAATCAACGATAGGCCACCATATCATCTGAAAGGATCGATCACATGAATTTTATTGTTGGTTTTTTTGCTATCTTTTGGGCTCCCATTTTTTAAAGATTTCAAGCCTCTGTCCCTCTCTTATTTCTTGAAATTTGGTGCTCGATTTGGAGGTTCATAACACTCCATTGATAATTCTTTCGATGAATCTCAATGATGCCAACATACAGCTCAAAATTCTTAATCCCATTGACAAAACTCCTCACGACATTCATGTATTCACATGTTCTTTTCATTCTTCATATAATCGTTCCCCTAGCTCATCATCTCTGAAACCTTTTCGTATAAAAATAGCTACAAAATTCATTAATTTTCACATTCTCTCTTAACTTTGTTTTTATCTCTCATCTTTGTGTTTTTCATTGCTTTCATACCTTGACACAACTTCCTCTTCGATTCTGATTCAACCTCAAACACCATGGTCAACGATATAAAGTTTTTGGGTGACTCAAACAAACCCAAGTTGGGTTTTCTATCTTCAAACAAATCAATCAGACTATCAAACTAGGACCAAAATTTGTCTAATCTCTACACTACTACTAATGTTTTCACTAGTTCTTCGACTTAGGGTTTTAAGATCAATAAAACCTTAACTCAATTGGTGTATCTACATTTTTCCCTGTTTAATTCTCAAGTTTTAATACGATCATTTCAAACTTTAGTGTTTCATTACATGTGTCTTTGATGTTGAGCAATTTTCAAGTTGAATTCACTAATATTAACGATTTTATCAACATTTTAGATGATACTCAGCTCGATATTACATTTGACTCTATAAGGAAATCTGGGTTTGTGTTTTTATTGCAATTGAAGTGTTCTTTTATCCAACTATAATGCATATATTTTTCAGATATGTTTTAACCTCTAATTTATTAATTTTAAAGAAGAAACAGTAATGGTTAATTGGTTATAGGTGTAACATCTCGACAATTAGGTATTTCTACATTTAACCCTAGTATGAAGAAATATTGCATTTTAACCCTTCGAATGAGTTTTGTTTGCAAATTGGTCCCTTATAGCACTTAGGGAAGAAAAGCACCTTACATGAGTACGCTGGGCGTAAGGTACCTAAAAGAAAAACATCGCCATTTTGGAGTATGTTGGGCGTACTCGGTTTGGATTAAACCCTAATATTTAGGGTTTGTGTACTATTTAATTCCCTCTATAGCCTCAAGACCTTTCCTTTCATCAGCTTCCATCACTCATCTAGACCCTTGCAAACCCTAACCTCTTGTGTAGACATTTTGACATTGTGTGTGTGTGTTTTTGGTGACCTTGAAGGAAGGGGAAGGTGGTGGAATCATCTTGGGAACTCAAAGGGAGCTTAGATCCATAAGTACCTCCCCCTTAGACATCATTTGTTGGTAAAAAGATATGACCTTGATGAATATTGCTCTTAGTTCTTGTTATGGTTAACTTTCATGCATTTTGGTCCCTTTTACTTGGTGTTCTTGAGTATGGTCTACTCTATACTTCATGACTTTCCTTTTAGAGTTTTTAGAGTAGCTTGAGTCATAAAAATGGGTTCTTGGTCGTTAACTGTAATGCCCGTTTTTCTAAGCTAAGCATTAGTATGATGACGTAATAGTTAGGATCATCAATTCTAACCTATTTTGAAGTAATAAATGAGGAATTACTTGAGTATTATGTGATTTATGTGATTTTGTGTGCATTATTACTTATTTATAACGACGTAATAAAATAATAATAAAAATAAGTGTCAAAAATAAAATAATAGATATACCCAATATCTAGGAATAAAGTTGTAGTGGTTGTGACAAGGATTCTGGAGATATAAAGAACACCAAAATCCGACTTATAACGAAAAAGTTATGACTTGTTGAAGTTTCACGACAAAAACGGCACGATGCTGTGTGACATCAAAAGTGAGTTTGCGATAAGATACTTTTTATCCTTAGAGATCTAAAAAAAGTCATAGTATATGATCAACCGAGAGCATGCATAAAAAGAGTGTCCAAATCTGACTTGGTATGAGGAAGTTAAGATTTTTCTAAGATTTGGCATAGCAGTATACTACCCAAAATTCTAATTTTAGATCGACCGATTTTTAGCCGACACAACCTAAATAAGAATCGAATATCTCATTAACCAAGATGGAATAATGGTTGAACCATCAAAGATTGAAGTTGTGATGAAATGGAAACGAGCAAAGAGTCCCATAGAGATCCGAAGCTTTCTGGGATTAGTTGGATATTACCGAAGGTTTATCCAAGGGTTTTCTTTGATAGCTACTCCATTGACAGCTTTGACCCATAAAGGGGCTACCTATACATGGAGCGAGAAACATGAAGAGACATTCGAGAAATTAAAAAAGAAATTAGGTAAAGCACCGATTCTTTCTTTACCTAACGGAGTTGAAGACTTCGTAGTCTATAGCGATGCATCTGGAGTTGGGTTAGGTTGTGTTCTGACCCAAATAGATAAAGTGATATCATATGCATCTCGACAACTGAAAAAGCATGAGAAGAACTACCCCACTCATGATCTATAGTTGACAGCGGTAGTATTCGCATTAAAGATATGGAGGCATTATCTTTACGGCATGAAGTGCAAACTTTTCATTGATCATAAGAGTCTCCAGTATCTCTTTGATCAAAAGGAATTAAACATGAGAGAATGATGCTGGCTAGAATTTCTCAAAGATTATGACTGTGAGATACTTTACCACCCTGGTAAAGCAAATGTTCTAGCTGATGCTCTAAGTTGAAAAGTAAACCTTGCAGAAAAAGGCCAAAAGTGTTAGAAATAGAAGTTGTCTCGACGATTGTGGGAAACATTAAGAAATCTCAGGAAGAAGCTTTGGAGTGTGTAACATGTTTCAAAGTATATGGTCAAGTGTCTAACCTGTGCGAGAGTTAAATCACCACATCAGAAACCATATGGGAGTGTAGAACCTTTGCATGTACCTATGGGTAAGTGGGAAGACATCACCATGGATTTTGTAACTAAACTACCTAGGACGAAGAACAATCATGACATGATTTAGGTAGCCGTGGATCGTTTCACAAAGAGTGCACACTTCATAGCAACCACTAAGAGATGGTCTATGGATAAGCTTGTAAATGCTCACGTGAAGGAGGTAGTAAGACTTTACGGTGTTCGTTTAACGATTGTATAAGATCGTGATAGTCGTTTCACATCAAGGTTTTGGAGGAGTCTAAAAGACGAAATGGGTACGAAGTTGGTTTAAGTACAACTTACCATCTGCAGACTGATGGTTAGAGCGAAAGAACAATTCGAACACCAGAAGCTATGCTAAGGGCATGTACCCTTGAATTCCAAGGTAACTTGGGATGGGCATTTACCCCTGGTAGAGTTTTCCTACAACAATAGTTACCATTAGAGCATCAAGATGACACCTTATCAGGCCTTGTACGGACAAAAGTGTCGTACGCCGTCTTGTTGGCTTGAGGCTGGAGAAAAGTATTTTATGTCCCCCGAGATAGTCCATCAGATAGCTGAAAAGTTGAAAGTGATTAGAGAAAGAATGTTGGCAGCTCAAGATTGCCAAAAGAGCTATGCTAACAAAAAGTGACGACTTATGGCATTCAAAGTTGGAGATTCAATATTGC